ATCAAAACATAATATAGTCTATATCTCTAGTAAAGAAATTATTGCGTACTATGACCTCCAACGAATTAGATGATTATAGGTTTGATGCATTTGAACTTTCATGACTCAACAGATAATGTCAAGTAGTATTCAAAATGTAGACACTGGTATAAAGATGTCCATGATAAGAAGATCAACTGCTCAAGGCAAGCAAATGAGGAATATGAAGAAAAAGGTATGACTTTTTCCTCCCGGTACTAAGCTAGTTCTCGACTAGTTTGGAATTGAGGCGTAGCAGTTATCATGTTTCTTAGCTAGTTCGCTATTTCTTTGTTTCTCAACTACGAAGGCCCTCTATACAGCATTTAGACATGAAAAATTTCACAGTTAGAACACCACTGCTAGGATTCTCACCCTGAATTTGCTACAGAGGATCAATGGAGCTTGATAACGAAGGAAGGTATCCCCAGACCGCGCTAAATGACACGATGGAAAAGGAAGTCTCAAAGACATAGGTGATCTCATCAACTTCCACTAACCTCAATGTAAAGATATCAACTAATTATGTGCCTTTTCTGTTTGGTCCAAACATGAAAGGCAAAATACTAGTAGAATAAATATGCAACTCTTAACTGTTGATTTGTTGTATATGCATAACGCAGTTCCAAGTTCACTAGTTTATAGTATAACTTTCCAGGCCTATATATGCTGTATATTTCTTGGTTCTCTTCAGTCCATTTTTATGTGAACTTGATTACTTAATAGTTGAACTACGACAGTAGTCAGCAAGGGCGAACTCGAACCCCTCTGAGTGCAAAACTACATTGTATATACAAAGTTGAAATTATTTGCGTATATTATACATGTATATATAGTAGATGTTGTTTGTCTACTTCGTGTGTTTATTTCTTTAAATTTTATATAACTGATGATGCATCAAATTGATTGTTCTATAGGCCACCTTTGGTTCCTCACTCATTATGCAAATAAGGCATGACGCAATGTCCTTAAATGTGCTGAATTGTTATGACAGTGTGATTGGACATGATTTTTTTTTAAAAAAATAAAAAAAAATAAAAACTCCTTCATTTCAAAATAAATGAATTGTTTATGTGTTTGGGTAAAAGTGTTGTAGTTAAAAAAAAAGTTGTTGATGTGTTTGACAAATAAGTTATGGTAAACACTTTTGTTTATTAAAATGTCTGAAGTACCCTTAAAGATGTTAACATGATAAAAAGTTAATTAATTTAAGATTTTTACCCTTAAAAAAATTAAAATAAAATTAATTTATGTTTTACATCCATAAGTAATAACATTTCCTATCATTCACATATTTCTTTATCATCACAAATTAATAATAATAATAATAATAGTAATAATAATAACAATAATATAATAATAATATGATAATATAATAACATAATAATAATAATAATAATAATATAATAATAATAATAATATAATAATTATTATTATTATTATAATAATAACAATAATAATACAATGATAATAATAACAATAAAGAATTAAGGGCAAAAAGGTAATATACTTGGTCAATATACTCCTCACTTAGCTTTTAGCTTAAAATAAGTCGTTTTTAAGTTGAAAAAAAAGTACCCCTGGATAATTGTCAAACACTCAAATAAGCACAAAAACTGACTTTTAAATCAGTTTGACCAGCTTTTAAGCTCATCCAAACATGCTCTAATTCACTTATTTTGAATTATGAAAAAACTGCAAAAAAAAACATACAAAATTATATTATTGTTAATACGCAAATTTGACATAAATTAGTATGAATGGAGGACAACCTTGTGAGTTTTGGCCAGTATAAAAGGGCATCAAACAAGAACAATTCTAACAAAGTTAAAGAGAACTGAAAATAAATCCGACCTTAGCTCAGTTGGTAGAGCGGAGGACTGTAGACGGTGTACCACAGTTAATCCTTAGGTCGCTGGTTCGAATCCGGCAGGTCGGAAGTTTTTTTTTTTTTTTTAAACTTTTGCACTTAGTGCACGTATCAAAAACATATTACTTATATGACGTTTGGTGTGTAGATAAGAAATTTGTTATTATATTTAATTCAGTTATCAAACAAAACTTTTTTCTTTAGTGCATACATCAAAAGTATATTATGATCACTTATACAACGTTTGATAAGTAGATAGGAAATATATAAGTTATTCATGTATACATATCAAAAACATAGTATGATCATACGATGTTTCGTAGATAGATTATATAGATAGGAAATAAATTGTTCCTGTATAAAAATTCACCCATGAGTATATTATTTCTTAAAAGATAATATTACTAAATAATAAAATATGTCTAATTGAGATTCCTTACTTTGTTTTACTACTAATTGTGACACTCCAATTTTCTGACCTCCTAGTGAATGCATCGAAATAATAATATGAAAAATTAATAAAATAAACTTCGTTTATAATTCAAAAATAAGTTTACAAAGCAAAACGGAAAAATAACAACTATCTAAATTAAATTTCTCGATAGTTCCGTTTTATTGGTAGAATAATGTTAGAAGAAATAGTGTAAGATTAACTTTGAATGAAAGGAAAACAAAACATTTCAACTTTTTTACTTTGCCTTTTGAATCTCCTGATAATTATAATGAATGTGTTTAAAGTATTGTATTAAATTTTTATCCACAAACACTTTAAACTAATTCGTTAACTATAAATATTTAAAACTATGACGTAAAAAGTTTTATTATTTATATTTTGAAAATCAGAATATTTATGAACAACTACTATTTTTATATAAAATTTAATTTTCTCTTCATACCTAACTTATCCACCATTAATCTAATATTATATGTTTCACCTTTTTTTTCCATAAAAAGAAAAGAAAAGAGTAAACATCCTATTTTATCACATTCATTCTTAAAGATGAAAATTAATGTATATGTAAAATTATAAGTACGAAGTAAAAAAAAAAAAAGATACAGATGAGCAAGATAATTAGGCATTTCATTTTATTTTTGTCTCTATAGTGAAACTGAATATTTGAGCATACAAAATACAAATATGAATTTAGAGCAACTTGCTAATAAAACAAGAATTCAACTATATGAAGAGAGACAAAAAAGTCTTATTATAATTCTTACTACAAATAAGTATAGAACTAACACATCAAGCTCCGATGCTTCAATAATTGAATTTTTGTCTATTCGCGTGACTGCAGAAGGGAATCTCACAACTTTCACCTCAAATTGTGACATTATTTCACATGTTTAGAGTTCTTACACACGAATTGTAGGAGTGGTAAATAAAAAATTTTCTTGAAAAAAGTTAAATTTATAGAACAAAATTTTGGAAACGTGAAAAGTCACATGAATTATTGTTAAAATAAATATAAAAAAGATAGAGATGAAATTTAATTTTATACATGAATCTACTTTGTTAAAATAAATATAAAAAAAATAGAGATGAAATTTAATTTTAAAGATACATGAATCTACTTTAATTTATTGTCTATAAGGAATAATTACTCATTTTTATTTTATTTATATTTGTGTTAGAAATTTGAAAGGTCAAGATTATGGAATGAGAATAAGAAGATTATATATATGAAAATTATAAAAGTTTTAATTTATTAGAGGGGCAAAATAGTAATTCAACTTTTAAGTTTTGAGCTTCATGCTTATAATAATATATGATTTAGAATGTCGCATAACTAATATACGTATAAATTATGAGAAATCTGTGTATTATTTTACCTTCACATAACTAATACCTACATACATAATACTTAAATTTAATGATTCACCAGTAACTAATCACTATAACTAATAGTTGGATAACTCTAACCACCTATCAAACGAACTTCAAAATAAAGTTACTATCGAAATTGTAGTCATCATTGAAAATTCATTAATAAAAGTGAATCTTTTACCACTCTGCTTGAAAAATTATTTTTTTGGGCAGATATATAATTTGGAAGAAAACTTGGTACGTGCATTAATATTTTAACAGAAAAATGGCCTATATTGAAGAATGATTTAGGCGGAAAAGTTAATCAGTTTATCCATTTGAGTATACTGAACCATATTATTCCAGGGCGCTAGCTCTGAAAAGAAAATAAAACTTGCGGAGCATTAAATTTTAGCACCAAAATGGTACTATATTAAAGATAAAGTATTGAATACGTTTTTAAATTTGGAGTAAATTACTTTCGGTCATAAAAACACTCGTTTACTTTGACTAGAACTTAGATACATCATGATCAGTCACATAGCAAATGATTTCAAACGGCATAATACATAAATGTGCCCTTTAACTTGGCTTTAAATCACATTTATGCCCAACTTTGGATGTGCACAAATAAACACTTAAACTTGTATAAAGTTGAACAAATAGATAGACATGTTCTATATGTCATCCTACATGTCATTTTTTGTCCCACGTGGTGTCCTACGTGTATTATTGTGTCATGTAGGACTCATGTGTTTATTTATTTAAAAGTTGAATAGTTAAAGTTCTTATTTGTGCATTATAAAAGTTGGAGGTCAAAGTTAAAATTTCAAATTAAGTTTAGGATCCAATATATGTACTATGTCATTTCAAACTCTTGTAACAGTATGAGACTTTTGATAAAAAACTGAGAGAAGTGTCAAATATATCCCTAAACTTGACGAAAATTTAGAGGTTTACTTCATTTATTACAAGATCGGGGTGTATTTAAGTTCAATTAGTCAAATAAAGAAGTGTTTTTGAGATTGTCAGTAGTTCGGGCATGAAAGTAATAATTTGTGTCAAGTTTAAAGGTGTTTTCAATACTATTCTCTACTATATTATACTATCGTACTGTATTACTTTTTTTTTTCTTGATGTTCAGGTAAGCTTTCACGCACTTAATTTCATGAGATATTTGTCACCTCTCACCAATGACATGTAAAGATTGGACAAATGTGCAGGGGTGGAGCTATGGCACGTCAAGGTTGGTCAGATGAATAACCTTAGTCAAAAAAAAATCGAATATATATACTAAATATTGTTTTTTTTTAGATATATACTAACTGTTCAACAACCTTGATAAAATAAAGGTTGATAACCCAGCGGTTAATGTTGTGCAAAAATACCTCTGCGTTTCGGGCTCAAAATGTGGCGATTTCTTTAATGTTTTTGATTATTCTATTTTGTCCTAAAATATAAATACCCTTGACAAAAATCCTGACTCCGTCACTGGAGATGTGTCAAAAATCCTGACTCTGCCATTGGAAATGTGTCAAAAATCCTGACTCTGCCATTGGAGATGTGTCTATATATTATGTTATTATTCTTCTAATTTAGCTAGCTGAATAGTAAAGGAGATTATAGCGTGCATAAGAAGATCAGTAGTAGCCACTGTCAAGACGACGAAGTTTGATTATTTCTCCTACTTGTCTTCTACAATTTTCTCTTTATTTATTACGTTTTGTTTAGTGCAATGCTTCATTCATGAAAGAAATTAAAACAAAGTACTAAGCATTAATAATAACATATATAATCTTCATACAGAAAGTGAGATTCTTGTCCTCAAAGAAATGACTTTTCCAGATATCTTATGTGTAAAAAATTATAAAAGGCTAAAAAATCATTTCACCTCGATGAGTCTATTCTTAACACAAATTGACATTTCATTGATAGTTTTGATGGCAAGTACAGAGAGGACGCCAGAAGAAGAGGTACACATTACACGACCAAGCTGGTCCAAACCAGAAGTTAAACGTCTGGGCAAAGACGATTTCTTCAAGGAGGTACATGATATCGATGAATTAATTGATGTTTTTTTAAATTTGTTCAAACTTTTGGCTGACTTAGATATTGTTTTCCAAATACTCAGAATATTAAATTTCGATGGGTGGGAAGAAAATGTCTTCTTGGGATTGATAATCAAGGTCATTGTTGTACGTATCTTTCAGTTTTTTTTTTTTATAGTATTACTAGTTTCAAATATGAACTCATAATAACAAATAGTTCCTCTTTATGTGAAGGTTGTTGTTGGGCATTCACATCAACAGAAGCTATTACGGCAGCATATGCCCTTAAGAATAAAAGAGAGATTGTTTCGCTCTCAAAGCAACAGTTGATTGATTGTATGTACACCAAATATAAAAAGCCTTCGTATTTTGCTGATTTGGGAGAGAAGGAATGTTTTCCATGTTCATATAACAAGGCATACAAGTTTGCTATGGATTATGGTATAACGTTAGAAACTAAATACCCTTTTATGGAGGAGAGGGGTAAATGTGAATGCCAGACTGAAATGGTAGGTATATCATCATTCAATTTACCAGTAGTAATTAGAACGTACTCATGATATTAAAAATTTATAATATTTATGTAGAGAGCTATAAAGATAAATGGATTTCAAAGAGTATATGAATTGATCAAGGAGTTGGAAGAAAAGGCAAAAGAGAAAAGGAAATCATAGAAAAGTTGATTCGACAACAACCTATTACATGTGCTGCTCTTCATGTTACAAGTCTTCAACTACATCGTGGAAAGGTGAAGTAATACTCCCTCGATCACATGACACTTTTTCCTTTATATAGTCTGTCTCGAAAAGAATGTCATCTTACTGTACTTAGAAAATAATCTAAAAACTTTAAAATTCTCATCTTACTCTTAGCAGAATGAATCTCAACCACATATTGTTTTGAACCAAAAATTTCAAAAATCTTCCTTTTTTTTTCTTAAACATCGTGTCAAGACAAAGGGTGTTACACAAAAATAGGAGGAAGGGAGTACAAAATTTTTGTTCATTATTCTCTTAGCTTACTTAGAAGATATGGGTTTATATTTTGATTGTTTTTAACATATATACAGGGAGTGTACATGGGACCAACAGAACATGAAATTGCTCAAGTGAGACAGAAGAAAACTGAAGGACAAGTAGTTGGAAAACATGCAATGTTAATTGTAGGATATGGTGAAGAGGAGGGTGTTGATTTCTGTTCGGTGAAAAACAGCTGGGGAACGGAATGGGGTTATCAGGGATATGCTAAAATTAAACGTAGTGCACTCTCTAAATTATCGTATCCCATTATAGATTAATCGTATCAGTATACAATAGAGTAACTTATGTTAATGTAGTAAGCCATCTGCAAGTTCAACTAAGTGCTTTTTCTATTCATTGATGAAGAATGCACAGTTAAGGTAATTATACATTAATGTGTTCAGCACAAGAGCGTTTGAATAAAATAAAGTCGTTAAGTAATTATACCCCATGATAGCTACAACAAATGTTGATGAAGTTCTAAGCTAAATATACCAAAAGGAGACTTCACAGCTCATTCTTCATTCACGGCATATTTGAAGCTTTCTTCGGCTACACAATAGAAGAAGACAGTTACTAATTTCAAAGAATGGGGTCTGGTCTGAGGAGGGTAAGTGTAAGCCTATCTTACCCCTACCTCGCAGATATAGAGAGGTTGTTTTTAATAGAGCTGAACTAAGCTTTGCCAAACAGTTTGAAAAGGGGAGGGGATACAAATATGGAAGCAATAACAACAACCAAACAATGCGATTAGACCTCAAAGATCATTGTTGATTATTAATCAGAGACTTCATTGCAACCAATCTCCTAAAAATCTCTATTAAACAGAAAAGCTCTTCCTTGTAATAGAACGCCAAATCTGCCTGTACATCTCAATGGAGATGATAAAAGAAAATGCAAAAGATTGGTGGAAAGACGGAGAAAAGGCAATGGAGGTTTTCGACTCAGAGAACTCATGTTTCAGACTAGAGATTCTTCGCCAATTTAGGAACTACTGGAGCATCACCGCTCTCTAAGAATCTAGTTACCCAAACACTTAACTTCCTTAAGGTGAGGTCTGTCTAGCCTAATTCTATTTGTGTACCTGGTGATGTGCTGAATTTATTATCAGTTGCACAGAGTCTACATGCACTACTACAACCATGCCACATCCACTGAATTCTTCTTTTGTCAAAGGAAAATGCAGACAATCACGGAAATAGGTCGACAGAAAGTATTGTAAATTATACAAAGCAGTGCTAAGAGAAAAAAAGTAGTCCTGAATTATTATTTTTATGACATGTTCATATGAGGTAAAAGCAAAGGTTGCCTACAACTTAATAACTTCTCAGTAGTGCTGTTTTCATTGCCCTTCAAAATTGTTGTAGCTATTCATAAAAAAAATTAAAAAGATCATTGGCAAAGGGAAGATAACATGTACTATCGGTTAAATTTACCCAAACACACTAATAACATAATCACAATAAAGCAACTCTGATATCCACTCGGATACATGATTACTGATTTTGTGGTACAACAGCCTAATCTCATAGAACACATGATTCTGTTAAGACTCTGGTTATAATCAAAACATGCTTGAAAGCACATAAAGAAATATCAGCACACTAACAATGTCAGAAGAAATATAATGAATGACATAATGGTGCTGATAAGAGACTTAACCAATAAAAGCTTTTACCTTTGGCCTGACCAACGGAAACTGCAAGCGGTATCTTAAATCTTTCACAACTTTTGCTTGAAAAATGTCATCCTTATCATCACGTGTTTTAACAGAAAAGGTAATATAGAAGATGAAGTCACGACAACCACCTCCATTCACTTTCAAAATGTCATTGACCTTGTAATTGGTGCCCTAAAAATCAGTCAAGTTATTTTATTAGAGATACAGAAGAGAAAACGAAGGAAAAGGACAATCAGGAAAGACAAAGAAAGTGCATCTATAGTATACCTTTTCATCATTGTATTGCCTAAGTGCTTTTCCAGCATAATCTGTCATCATGTCAACATTCTTAGGGTCGTTCAAGTAGAATGGCATTGGGTAGACAGTTGTCATCGCACACTGTCCGGGATAATCTGTGATATCAAATCCCTGCAAAAGTACGATCCAACAATAAGAGACAATATTGCCCATTGCATCCAATTTGCTATGTAATTACTTAACCTTCAGAAAATTCGCAGAACCTATACAGGCAAGTAGCCAAAGATACATTTACTTGGAAGTACCAAATAACCTGGTGTCTATAAAAGGTAAGATAATTTTACTAATCAGTACCAAGAAGGGAAGTTGTTACAATTTCAATTTAGCATATTCACGAAATCTAGAAATTGCCAAAAATTGTCGGTTGTCCTACCCTTGCACAAGGCAAAAAAGATTCAACAAACGTCTAATTTTTTTTAACAGATATGACTTTTTGGCCTCCAAAACACTTCCTATTTCTTTCCAACCAGACCATCCACGTTATACATAAAAGCGATAGTTCTCCAGATTTCCCTTGCTAGTCAACCCTCGGATGTGGCCGGTATTCCAACAAGTTCCTCATATTGAGTGGAATTGTCCATTCATCCCACATAGATTTGTGTACACCGTCCACACTGAATAAGCAGATTCTTGAGTGTGTGTGTTGGCGGGGGGGTTCACATAGGAAGCATCTATTGCATAAAAGAAAAGTCTCTGTTGCAACACGTCTTGAGTGAAGCATGAGTTCTTGGCTGCTATCCATCTAAAACAAACTGCTTTGGGAGAAGCTCTAGTCTTCCAAAACATCTCACATAGCCAGTTCTCTTCCACCAAATCAATCTGCCTTTCCAACAGCTTGTAAAAACTCTTCACACTAAATTTCTTACTTTTACTAGCAGTCCATACTATTGATTCCATTTTTCTTGCGGCAATGCTGATGTTATCCAATGAACTCCAAAGCTCATCAATTTCTTCCGCCTCATCATTAAAAACTCTTCTAAAGCTGAGATGCCAGCCTAACATCAACCCTTAATCTGAACTCCAATCTAAGCTGCCTCCCACACCCTCAAAAAGAGTTCTTTTCTAATCCTGGAACTTATACATGCTTCAATGTACTTATTGAATCTAATATCACTTTCAAATCCACTCTCAGCATCTCACTTGGATTCATAATTTGACCAGTTGAATCAGTTTTCCCTATGATTATCTATGCAACAACTACCAATCTACCATTATTCATCGATCACAAGCAAGTTAGGGTCGACTAGACGAATCATCTTGATGATGATGCTCCACTTAAGATCATTTCACCATTATCTACTATCATGCTCAATATTTAAACAAACCAGCTGCAATCAAACTTGGTTTCAGGCGTTTCGGTTAAATGAATGGAATAAACACGTTGAGGCTGCTAGAAACTACACCCTAGGTTCATATACAGGTTGTTACACAAACTACATACTCCTAACTTGTTTAGATGGTTGTTACTCATTATATTGTTAGTTTAAATACAATGTTATTACGTAAACAACATACTCCTAACATTGTTTGGATGGTTGTTACTCATTGTGCTGTTAGTTTAAATACAATGCTTAGATACATTGTTAGGTAGAGATCTATTTTATGTTAGGTAGAGACATAAACACACAACTTCCACCCTCTTGGCTGTAGTTTGAGCTGGTATATGTGAGAAATTTACAAGAAAAAAACGAGATTTCAAAAAGAATTCAAATCAATAATTTTTCTGCACAAAACAGGGAAAGAGAATGAACTAGAACAAAGCGGATTTTTTTCATTAATAGCCGTTACATGGGAATACATACTGATTTGGTGTGATCACGTCTTTATCCTACCTCATAGTAGCTCTACCAGTAGCCCACTTGTAGGTTTGTGTGACATTATGTAAGGACGGAGAATGATACAATCTATCCAAACACTGTATTCATCAGAATAATACTGTACAATACAATATGTAACCATAGATAAATCACCTGATTTTGACTCAAAATTTTCATATACAGGTGCAAACTACAGACTGCTAAATTACCTTAAATAAACTCAAAATTTTCATAAACGACTCAAATTAGAAAGGAATGATGAGGTTACCTCGCTCTCCTTAACCTGTTGGTAATACTTCTCCCAAACAGCTTTATCCATTTTCTGGGGGTAATATGGGCAAAAGTCTTCGTCTGAATCATACTGGCTATAAGTCGGTCTTATGGGACTGGAGGTATCATTCACTTCATCGCTGAAAACCATGCTATCTTCACTGGAAGTATCGCTAACAACAGAACCCTCATCTACTTCGATCCTAAGTTTCTTCTGCGCCGGGGACTCCGATTCTCTGCTATTGACGAGAACACGTTTTCCGGCGATGGACGCGACGGAGGCGGTACACAATTCATGTCTACGTCGTCGAATGGAACCACCGGTACCGGATTACCTTTATCAGCTTTTTTTGTACTCATATTTTTGTTACGGGTTATTCCGGTATTAGCTTGCCGGTAAAGCTTTGAAAGTAGTCTAACACCTTCTTTTATTTACCAATAGAAAAAGAACTAATAAATATTTTCTTTCCATTTTTTTATCCAAAATTTTGGTTTAAAAATACTTTTACCTAAATTTAATTGAATTTCATTACTAATTAGTTAATTCTTTAAAATAATATAGTGTTTGATTTGATATATCAAAAATAAAATGCACCCTATAAATTTATTTGCAAAAATATTTTAAACCTCTTTATTTTGGCAAATGAAAAATGTCTTGAGAGGAATTTGAGGAATAGTTATGTTATTTATCAATTTAATACTTTCTCTATCTCATATTATCTCATATTAGATA